ATAATGAATAATGTTTTCATTTAGTCGATTATCCAATGTCTAATTTATTTATAGTTATTCTAAAGATACATTTTTATTACTTGATTCGACTTGTCTCATAATAATAATCAGTATTTTAAACCTGTAGTGCATTGGAATAATGATAATAGTAGCATATCTTAAAATTAGTCTAATTTACATGTCACTGCTGTGTTATGATGTTAGTAATAACAATAGTAATAACAGACCCTATTTGTCAGATGCCGAAAAAAAAAAATACTGGACCTCAAATTAAAAGGATTGGTGTGACACAGATTAATTTAAACGCTCTTTCACTGAACTGGAAAGTATTTGACCTAAAACTTAAAATGGTTCTGACGTGGATTTATATCATTACCGGAGTAATATGCAGGAAGATAATGTTTTTGCAGACTGTACAGACAGTCACATACTGTAATGTAGTTTAAGTCCTTTTCTCGCTCTGATGCGGCCATTAAGGTAAACAGAAAACAGAAAATGGTTGAAAATTAGATGGATGCATGGTGGAACATTGGACAGCAGCGGTGGAGAAATTACTTTTAATATTGGAGCGATGAAGAAACATTTATAGAAATCAATTTTAAGTAACTACCACTAACAGAGACGCGTTCCTTATGCTGATAATCTTAATATACCATCCTTGTGTGGGGATGGCTCTTGACAAATCTCTCTAGGATCCTTTCGCGTCACGTGCACTGCACTTGCTGCAGTGAAGCCTTTTCCCATTTGCAGAGCAATGAAATTGGCTTTGTATTTTCATTGTCTTCTGATGTATTTGACAACCTGAATAGCTGACCTGCTAACGCTGCCAGATGAAAACTCAATGCATCACCAAAGTCAGCAGGACTCCTACTCTGGGCAGCGTGAATATCTGCACTAAAATCGAATGGAAATCCACCTAATATTTGTTGAGATGTTTTAGTTTGGACCATACTGGTGGATTAATAGAGTGATGTCATTAGCATGGCTGTAAAGAACAGACTATTTTCAGAATCAGCTTTATTTGCCAGGTATGTGTACACATACGAGGAATTTGACTCAGAATTGTACATTGCTCACGCTGTGCTTACTTATACAATAATACATTACCACAATAATAAAATCAAACAGGCTACAGTATAGAGAACACAAATATACACACTATAAACAAAAAAAGACAGATTGAGACAAAGTGCAAAGGATGCAGGAATAAATAAGTATTATGTGCAGGTGTTATTTACTTGAGGTAGGTGTATTGGTATACAGTATATACAATATGACAATATGAACAGTATGAACAACTCTGAAATAGAGAATGATGAATAATAATAAGTGGTAACCAGTAAACAAGTGGCTGATTAGAGGCAGAGTTACTGGGTTATTGCACAAGAATTGTTCCTGACACTGTGAGTCAGAAATCAGCTGTTCATCAGAGTGATGGCTTGTGGGAAGAAACTGTTCCTGAGTCTGTTGGTTTTGGCGTACAGTGCTCTGTAGTGCCTACCAGAGGGGAGGAGCTGGAACAGGTTGTGTCTGGGGTGAGATGGATCTGCAGTGATGTTTCCTGCCCATTTCTTGACTCTGGAAATGTATAAGTCCTGAATGGAGGGCAGGTTGGCACCGATGATCTTTTCTGCAGTCCTGACTGTCCGTTGTAGTCTGCTCCTGTCCTTTTTGGTGGCAGATCCAAACTAGACAGTGATGGACGTGCAGAGGACAGACTGGATGATGGATGTGTAAAGTGGATCAGCAGCTCCTTAGACAGGTTGAGCTTCCTGAGCTGATGCAGGAAGTCCATCCTCTGCTGGACCTTCTTGATGATGGTGTTTGTGTTGGGCTCCCGCCTCAGGTCCTGGGATATAGCGGATCCCAGAAACCTGAAGGTTTCCACAGCAGACAGGGCTGTTGTATGATGATGGAGCAGAGCTCCTCCTGAAGTCCACGATCATCTCCACAGTTTTGAGCGTGTTAAGCTCCAGGTTGTTCTGGCCGCACCAGAGAGCCAGCTGATCAACCCCCCGTCTGTAGGCCGACTCGTCACCGTCCCGGATGAGGCCGATGACCATTGTGTTGTCACCAAACTTCAAGAGTTTGACAGATGGGTCTCTTGAGGTGCAGTCGTTGGTGTAGAGGGAGAAGAGCAGGGGGGAGAGCACATACCCCTGGGGGGCGCCAGTACTGGATGATGTTCCCCAGCCTCACCTGCTGACTCCTGTCAGTCAGGAATTTTGTGATCCACTGACAGGTGGGGGCTGGCACAGTGAGCTGGGTGACTTTGGTGCTGAGGATGTCTGGGAACACCGAGCTGAAGTCCACAAACAGGATCGTTGCATAAGTCCCTGGAGAGTCGAGTAGTTGCAGGACGTAAGGGTGACTGTTTGAAGATGGTGTTTAAGCGGGGGAGAGGTGTGACTGTGGGCTTCTCAAACCTACAAACCATTCAGCTCATCAGCCAGTCGTTGAGTACCAGCAGTGTTGGGGGATGGTCTCTTTAGTTTTTAAAATGTTGGCAGGCCTCTCCACACTGACGCAGGGTCGTTGGCTGCAAAGCTGTTATTTAGCTTTTCAGCATAGCACCTCTTTGCAGCTTTGACCTCTTTAGTCATTATGTCCTGGCCTGGTAGTACAGGACTGTTCCCACTTCTGAAGGCTGCCTGAGTTTCGCTGTGAACCAAGGTTTTTGGTTGTTGTATGTGAGGAAGGTTTTAGTCGGCACACATGTCCTACAAAACTGATGTAGGATGTCACAGTGTCGGTTAGTTCGTCCAGGTCAGTGGCTGCAGCCTCAAAAACACTCCAGTCAGTGCAGTCAATGCAGGCCTGTAACTCCAGCTTTGACTCATTGGTCCATCTTTTCAGGTTTAGCAGATTTATGTCGCTGCCTGTAAGTCAGGATAAGAGGAACCAGACAGTGATCAGAGAGTCTTAAGGCTGCACAGAGCGATATGTGTCCTTTAATGTAGTGTAGCAGTGGTCCAGAGTGTTAGTGTCCCTGGTAGGACACTTAATATTTTGTTTCAGGTTTGGACACGACAGAAGAAGAAAATAGGATGTGGTTCTACTTTCTAGCCAAAAGCAACAACACAACAAGTTAAAGCAGCTGACCTTCACACGTGTCGTGGCAAAAGAGTTTATGCCTGTTTTCATTGGCTACACTTGGCCTTTATCTCAAAGACTGACCACACTGTGGTTTTACAATTCCACATAGTTGGGGTAAAAAAGGTAAAAAGAGGAGAAGAAGAAAACCACAGGCTGATGTAAACAATGCAAGTTCCCAAACATTTGTATAAAGAGGTCTACTAATGATTTATAAGATGAGTAATCTAGTCACCGTGTTTATCAGGCCTTAAAGATGCTCACAAAATATAAAGCAGAGATGCAGTTAAGCCGTGCAGTGAAAACTAACCCAGAAATGTGAGAAAAGCAGGGGATTCATTTTGCTGTGAAGTTCGTGAGGTTCTTCAGTTCCTCAGTTTTCTGGTGTTTGAGGATGTTTTCTTCTTGTGTGATCCGACTGAGCCACATGAAGGCTGCAGCTTGTGCAGACCCTGAAGATGACACAAACCAACACACTGTGCTGAGCGCTCACAGGGCCACAGGCCGCGAGGGTGGCCTGGGATTCATTTAGCAAAGAACCAATAAAAACACAAAGTCTTCAGAGACGTCTCTGCCGTGCTCCTTTGGTTCAGGAGGTCTTTTTTATTTTTTTGCCCTTGTTTTTGTCTAATTGCACACAGAAGTCTGGTGGAAGGTCAGAACACATCGAAGTGAAGCTCAGGTGATTTCAGAGAGGAACCAAGATTCTGATCCCAAGTTGTAATTCCTGATTCCTTATTGTGTTTTTACCGTTGCATGGTTCTTCTCAGGTTGAGGTGGAGACAAAAGAGTAATCAGTCAAGAGGGAAAAGATCAATGACGTCACAGTGTAGCACAATCACATCACAAAGTCTGTTTAGTGGTTGTTCATGAGTTTCAATCAGATCACGCGATCTTCCTCAGGAGATGGAGTTTACCCCGCTCTCATGGAAGTGTAGATGTTCAAAATGAGCAGTGGAGCAGCTTCAGTTTTCTAACCACCAATTCTCACTGTCTCGTCTCTGTCTGTCCAGACGGCCACCGACAGCTCGTCCAACTCGTCCCAGAAGAGAGAGCCAACAATGCACACACTGGCCCCGCCCAACTTCTGCGAGACCCGTCGACACCACTGCATCCTGGGACATTTCTACGAACAGCACCGGCCCTCGGATCACTACTTTCTGGAGCAGGTGAGTAGAGTCACGTACACACAAACACCTATAAACGCATGAAACAAAACCGACAGTATAAACTCACAGAATCATATGCCTAAGAAGACAAATAGGAGGAAACTGAATTAACAAGGAGGCATTACAAATTCCAGTTGTATTTGCCTCCAAAACCTTCACAAAACTTTTAAATGCTCTAACTGGGATCAGCCTGTCTAGCTAGAAAACTGTCTGCAAGTGGGTCCAGGTTACAGGGGCTGAGAACAGAAACGCCTGTTTGCTCATTTCAGAGATTCAAAGGGCTTGACTTACTTTCAGTGAACCGCAGTTTTTAAAATTACTAAAAGAACTCTCTAAATTTGCTTCATTGCAGATAGTGATGAGCTGGTGAAGTTTCACTTCATTCCTCCATTTTAGAGAAGATAAGAGCAAATAAAACCATGTGTTTTGTTTATCAATGCACATTAGAGTAAGGAATAAATCGACGTCAAGATCAGCATTGATATCCTCACAAAAAGTTTAGATTTTGACACCTTTATTTGTTGGTTTTATTTAATGTCTTCTGTAGTTAAGTGTGCAAAATAGGATGGGAGAATTTTAAGTAGGTGTGATTCAGGTTAAAATAACTCTCACTTTAGTTCTAAAAGGTTTGGATTACTTGGTGAGAACTGTAGAGGAAAAATATGTTTTTAACCTGAGCCTTGAAACAAGTTGCTGTCAGTCTGTAATGAGATGATCGCTTATTTAAATCAAAAGTGACGAATCCCAGCGTGATTTGGTTACAACTATATTCCAATCCAATCCACTTTATTTATACAGCACATATTAAAAAACAACAAGTTTATTAAAGTGCTGCGCAAACAACAAAATAAACAAAAACACATAAAACCTAGACAATACACAACCAGAACACTATACTACTACACTAAAAACAAAGACCACACAGCTCCAATGCTGGATTAAAAGCCAAGGAATAAAAGATTGTTTTATATATATATATATATATAAAAGAGATTTAGTAGACATAGTACTTATCAGATAAGACGCACAGATCTCTCAACCAGGTAGCCTGTATGACCCATAATGCCTCTGGTTTTTGGTTAGGTTCATTTGACTTAAAGGCACCCTGTGGAGTTTTCTTTTGCAAACGCTGATTTGTATTTTATATCCATGTTTACTTGTCACAGTCTTTTTCTTCCGTTACCACCCGTAGCATGTAGATCAGTGGAGTGGTGTGAAACCACTGGCGGGTCTGTGCATCAAACCACCTCACATGTTGATAAATAAAACAGGGATCCCCTGAGAGAAAAGCAGCTGTGTATAGCTACGACAAGTCAAAACGAACTCCATAAGGAACCTTTTCATTTACAAAAAGCTAAGGGACTGGTGTAGAAATGGGCATGTTTATCCCTAACATTATTTTAAATGCTGCACATCTAGATGTGGGTTTGTAGAGATTTATTTGCAGCACATACCCCGATTTTAACCAACTAACCAAGGCAGAAGGCCGCCCACCCTGAGTCCAGATTCAGCTCAAGATTTCTACTTCTTTTCTAACTTCTTTAAAAGGGAGATTTTCCTTTGCCTACTCATTGTGGGAATAATCAGTCTTTCTAAATAATATTACAATGATTACAATGAGATAACTTCTGTTATCACTTTGCTCTATATAAATAACATTTAATTGAATAACCTTCGGACAGGTAAACATGGAACTGCTGCTGCCAGCTGTGCTCCTCGTTTTGTGCTGACCTCATGCTGGAGAACTAACTTTTGAAACACTCCTCTGTGTCTCTACAGGCGGTGCACATGTTCCCTCGTCACGTCAGCTTCCAGGTGGAGGAGGAAGAGATCGTACGCATCAACCCCCGCGAGCGTACCTGGTTCACCGGCTACGAGGACTACCGCCACGCCAACTCCACGCGTGACAAACTCTCCCAGCCCGACAACCTAGACGCCTATGTTCACTTCGCCAAGAGCGAGCCGCCCAAACATGACTACACCTACCCGTACCCGCTGAGCTGCGACATGCAGCGAGGCTGCGATGGCAAACCCGGCTGCCTGGAGCTGGGCAGCGGCCACAGAGCCGTGGTGACGGTGCAGCCGCTAGCTCTACAGCCCAAAGGCAAGAGGCGAAAGGAGGACGGTGAGCGCTCGCGCTGTGTTTACTGTCAGGACATGTTCAACCATGAGGACAATTGGCGGGGCCGCTGCCAGGAAGCACCTGACCCCATTCAGACCTGCATCAGGCGGGTCAGCTTCATGTGGTGCGCAGACAGCCTGCTGTATCACTGCATGTCGGACCCGGAGGGAGATTACTCGGACCCGTGCTCCTGTGACACAAGCGACGAGCGCTTCTGCCTGCGCTGGGCGGCGCTGGTGGGTCTGTCGCTGTTGGCGCCCTGCATGTGCTGCTACGCCCCCCTCAGGGCGTGCTACCATTGCGGCGTAGCCTGCCACTGCTGCGGTGGGAAACACAAAGCTGTGGGCTGAGTCGTCACAGGCCTCGCCCTCCTCACAGAGACAGCAAGGACTCATGGGAGCAGGCGGGAAACAGAGGCTGCTGTGATTTTTACATTGTTGTTGTTCTCGTCTCTGATTTCCAGAAAGAGCAAAAGAAGAACTTTGTCTCAACAGATGGAAAAAAAGTTTCCTGATGTTTTCTGTTTGTCTTTTATGACATTGGGGATCAAAAGGCTTCCAATTCTCACAAAGACGTAAAAAAATTCATATATATATATATATATATATATATATATATATATATATATATATATATATAAGGTACTTTATATTTTACACTCATGTGTTTTAAAGGCTTGAATATATGATAAGCGTTGTGTGAGGTCAGTATGAATGTTTGTAGAGGGAACTGTAGTTCACTGACACAGTGCAAAACATTTTCACCTAACAAAACATTTTAGGGTGCTCATAATAATCATTTCAAAAAACAAATCAAGTGTCGGGAGATAATTTCACCTTAAGGGGTTAGTTTAATATAAAAAAAAAAAGGTATTCACAAAGAAATTTAGATAATTGATGGAGATCAATCATGACAGCAGTATTGATCTTAAATTAAATTAAATCCTCAGTAACAAAGCATTTGTTCTAACTTAAACTTCTACACACAGTCACTCCTGCTGTTAAGATGAATGTTTTTCACTGTGTCGGCAGCTGTGGTTCCCTGATGTTCAACTGAGGCACTTAACTGGTCTGAAAGCTGCTCTGCTTACCTCCCAGCAAACTGAACAGATACACTAGTTTGGCTGACCAATAAGATGGCAGTTCCCAGTCCTCAATAGTCCAGAAACACACATCTGACAATTTGCCAGAAGGTAACATTTGCAAAACTGTACCTCAGCCTGTTAATAATCAAGTCTAAAGTTTT